GGATTGTCCTAGATAAGCAGTTACTTTAGATTTTTTAGGAACCCCTTTCCTCCATAATTAGAATATTAAAATTGCCAAAACTTTTACAGGTTAGAGAAACCGTATATCTAGCAGTCAGAGCCACTGGAAGGTAGCTTGGGGAATCAGAAAAGCATATTGCTGCTGACAGTCTGTTTTTCTGACAGTCATATGTGAAACTTCCATTAATGATGTTCATTGTTCTATCTATGTTAAATCTGTGCTATTAAAGCATCTTTAATGCTGTAAAGATATAAGGAAAATTCCACTACATGCAATGTCCACTGACATAGGGCAGATTGCTTCAGTGCAATATATGATTATAAAAGATAACTACTGGTCTGTTCAGCTGATATTCAGATGTGAAATAAAGTCAAGTTGTTCTAAAACAGGGTCAAATTAATTTAGGGTCAAAGTGAACAACTGCTCACTCTCATATGCATTATGTTTTGTTTGATTATTTCCTCCTTTATGCATCTCGTAAGTGAAGGGCAGATTTTTCAATTCTATTGCTTTCAGAGGACTAATGCTAAAATTTTGTTTTTCTGTATTTATCTTTACTTATTGTAGGGTTGTGGTTTTGTTTTTAATTTGCATTAACTGAAATTGTTAAACTACAATACTATATTAAAAATACAAAAAAAATGTGTAATACAGTGAAAAGTCTGAATTGAATCTGACTGAACAGAATGTATATAAGAATTAATCCAACTTCATAATCAGTATGGAGGTACTTCTTCAGGAGAGGTGTCAAACCTCTTGGAGACCAAAAAACAGAGTGGATGTGCCCAGTTAGCAGAAGTTACAATTTAAGAAAAAATTATCATCTGCTCTGTAGTACTTGAAGGTTTTGTGCAGGGCAGGAAAATGGGTAGACAGGGACCTTAATACTCAGAATGAGTGACCATTTCCTCCTGTGAGCAAAGAGCCAGGTTTGCTATTAAAAGTTCTGCTTTCTTAGTTATGTCAGTAAGAAATTATGTTAATAAGAAATTTAAATTTAAAATCACAACACCTGTAGCTAAGGCAGCTGTTTAGGCTAAAGCCCAAGAAAAAAAAATGGGTTTTTTTGCAGACAGAAGCTTTGGAAAGCTGTTATAAATTATCTGGCCAAATACATATATGTGTATATATGTATATATATTAAATATATATATTTTATGTACATATATATATATAAGGACTCTCTTTGCCAGTAGTAAAACGTATCTTGAAGAAAAGAGGTTATGGACATACCCATCTACAGCAGCCATGCAGCAAGGCCCCTGTGCCTGGGATCCAAAAGACAAGTACTCGTGCACAGTGACTATTTTCCGGGATTTCCAAAGTCCAGTCATTTCTAAAGCCAGCAAGAAGAGTTTCCAAATTTCCTTTCTCCTGTCCTCTCTCCCCTGAGCTCTGCATGCATGAGCTGCCCTCCCTTCCCTCTTCCCATCTCTTCCCATTAGAAATGTCACTATCCCCATCTGCTGCCCCTGAACTCCCTATGCTGGCAGGAATGAACAGGCAGAACGACGCCACATTCAGCATAATGTGCTACCCTGACACTTCAAAGGCAATTACTAGCATTTTCCACCGAGAAAAAAATTATGCAAAAGGGATTAATGCTGCTGTTTCTCTTTTGATGCCTGTAACACAGATCAGGACACATCTCCTGCATCACCAAGTCCAGCTCCTTGTTGCTGCAGGCACCATGTAATTTATTTGTTCAGTATGAGTATGCGTGCTTTCCACCAGCTAAGCTAACTGGTGACTTAGGGATTACTTATGCTTTCCAGTACATCCCCGGAAACAAGATGTGCTATCGTAATACCTGAATTACGTGGAATTTTCTTTGTGTGTCTCTCTCAAATGATGTTACAAATTCAGCCAGCAAATGTATGTGTTATTGCGGTCAGCAGGACTTCTCTCATTTGGAATTATGCATGCCTTACTGTTTTTATCAAATGAAACTGTAATAACACAGCTCAAAAAGTGTGCACTCTTATTGGAAAATACATTTTACAGGAACTGCTTCTTCTGATAATTACATATTTGGCGACAGAGGGTGAGGGGGTGAAGAAAAGCTATTTTCCCATCTGCAGCAAATCCTGACAGCTGCTTAAAAACAACAGTAATGAGGGAGAGAAAAAGAGATATTTGTGAAGGCTTTAGATATTAGTTTCAGATAAGTATGCCACACGCGAGGCCTTCCTTGATTTATTTCGGTTTGCAGGGGAGGGGGCTTTGCACAGCTCACTGAAACTCCTGACAAGATACAGGTATCTCAGGACATGTAGGTCTCACTGAATATTTTAAGCAAGAAATACTTAGTGAATGGTTTACTTCACAGCATTCACACCATTCAAACTCTGGATAGAGCCAGGAAATTAAGAAGTAAAAAATGGATCAAAGTTTACTGACTCAATAAATTGAAGAAAAAGGAAACATTCTTTACCGGCACCAAGTAATTGACCTCATCCTAAGTAGACTCCTCTTTGCTGTAGAGCCCTGAGTATGGGCTCAGGAAAGTCTGGAAAGGAAAAAAGTTAAATGATAACTGTTGTCAACACCAGACAACAGCAGAAAAAAGGAAAGCCTTGTAACAGCTCTGTCCTGGGAATGAGACATGCAGAGCAAAGCTTTGCCTTCAGCTGTGCCCTTCACCTTACAGAATCATAGCGATTTTAGGGTAAGCTGTTTGCCTGATCTTACACCTTACAAAAACCTGTCTCCTCTTGTCCATGGGGGAATGTGGAGCAGCAGCTACCAGCGCTGCAATAAGTGGAAACCTTCAGTCATGCGCAGGAGAGAGTTTGAGGCCTTCGAAAGGTCTTTGCTTTATAAAGTTGTTGCTCCTACGTTCTGCCTCGCAATCCTATCTGCTGGCATGTGTAATCATAACCCTTCAGCTGAAGATCTACACTATAAAAGTCTGCAATGCAAGCTACTGAATAAGTATGTTTATCTGTAAATGTCCCGATTTAGATACAGAAATTTTATTTCTACCTTTACATATACTGTACATTTTCTGCAACATCTATAAGGCACTAAAACATGCTTATAGAAAATAGAGCATGTGAATGTCCTTGATTTCCAGAAGCTGTTAGTCTGTCCTACCTGTGGTACTTGCTGCTTAATAAACAAAACATTTCTTCTAACACCCTGAATAATTCAGGGCGGCAAAAATCTCAGAACACTTTGTCACTAAAAACTGTTTTGAGGCTTCACCTGGTGGTTGCTGGGTACTGTGAAATGGGTACACGGGGACATCATACAGTAAGACTGTGCCCTAGACCACTAATACTATTTGAAATGAGCAAAATAGAAGAAGAAAAGTAGGAATTGGTTATCAGGCTCTCTGGCTGCTTTTTGACTGATATTTTAGATGAAGAGGAAACTGATTGCAACTCTAGTAACTTGGTTCAGGAGCTGCTGTGATACTCCATCATGGACTGGAATGGTCTGTGGACTGAACGCAAGCAAAGATGCTTTGCCATTGCCACTTAGATGTAATCATGGCTTCATGTCTCTGTCATAATGCAGTTCTACTTCTTATATTTTTATTGATTTTTGATGGTTTTGCTTTAGATTGCCTAACTCTCTATATTGAAACCAATTTTTAAGTGGAATATCTACGTACTTGGGTGTGGGTTTTTTGTTGAGGGGGTTTTTTCTGATACCCAGTATGAAAAATGTCTTTGCATGTAAAGCGAGATTAAAAGCTTCGCTTGTGCTTATTTTCATGCTTGGTATTTAGCAGCCTGAAAGAGGGTTGATTTGTTCTGGTTTTTCATTTTTTTCAGGCAGTTGGAAGGAATCTGCTAGACACAGCACGACCTAACTGCCAGCGCAACGCACATCTTCAACACCATCCCGTTCCTTAGAGAAAAGTGTCTGAACTCACTAAGCAACCACTGGCTAGGGACTGAGGATGAAAAGAGGACATGGCATCCTAACGTCAAGGAGGGTACCTGTCTGAAGACAGGAAACATTTATACCCTGCACCAGTCAGCTGTCTTTCACCATACAGTGCCATACAAAGTGCCATGAAGCCCGAAAGGATACCAGCTCTCTTCCTAAGGACAAAATGTTATACTCCATCAAGATCTTACCGAAGGTCTCAGATGCGGAGGCACAGCAGAGAGGGAAGGTGAGTACTGAACATCAGGCTGCCCAAGAGGCAGAAGCCACAGCAGAAGCTTTAGACATGCTTTTGGTAACTGAGAAAAAGATCAATCTGTTGGGCAATGACTGTCCTCCTTCTGAAGGAGAAAGCTTGTGTAGTCTCTGCCCCTTGGACTTTGAGCAAGAGCTAAAAACATGCTACGGGGTTGTGGTTACAGCTCTGAAGGGCTAAATTCAGCTGTACCGTATCAGTGTAACTGGAAACATATTCCACTTTGGATGTTACTCACATCAGCTAGTACCACATAACAATTTGTTACTCCTCTGGTTCAGCTCAGTGCAAACAGAGCAGAACATTAGGAAACGTTTAAAGATAATCAGACAATAACAAGAGAATAAAAAACATTTCTCAAATTGATTGTACAAACAGGTTTTATTGTTAAAAGAAACAAAATAAAACAAAACAAAATAACAGGGTTCCCAGATTCAAATGCTGTTATATTTTGAGTACTGGAGAATATCTGATTCTTGCACTTCAAAACTTCTTGTATGAGTTCAGCGCAGTCTGAAGGACTCAACTTTTTCATCACTTAAGGCACAGCACCGAAATGCAGTCCTCAGCCTGACATCCAGTCAGGGTTATTCTCTGGATTAATCAGGATGCCTGATTCACAGAGATTTTGTGCACATTGGCTGAGCATCTGATTACAGCAGTGCTATAAATGGATAAGACTATCCATCGTGTAGCTTTCCAGACAGTACATGGTGTATTCTACCTCAGGAAAATTAGCGTGCTTATTATTTCACAACTCAGATTCCAGTTGCTTGCAGAAGTGACTTCCGTATTCTGGAATTATTTGGAACATTTGTTGCATTCAGAAAGGGTCTTGTTTTACTATCATGGTGAAATTCAAGCATATGACCATATTATTCTCAGAATCATCAGAGAATCCTTCTAAAATTATGTTATAATTGCCCTAAAATAAGCAAGAAAAAAAAAAAAAAAAAGAAAGAAAATTAGTGCATAATGCTGCCTGCTCTTGTCCAAGTAGCTGCTTGGAATGGTTCTGGTGATTTCAGAGAAAGAAAAAGAGATTCCCGTCAGGGACTGTTATCATGGGTATAGTGGGATATATGTGTACATAAAAAAATAGTGCTCAACTTTCTTCTCATGACCAGGAAGAGCAGTAGGCCAGCTTGCACTTGTCAGGGTCCTCTCTCAAACCAGAGTCCTGTGCTCCTGAGGATACCTGCTCCCCCTTCCAGAGCCATTCTCTTGAGTAATGTTTCTGACTCCACAAATGGGAATTAACTGAGCTGATACACCAAGCTGTGTTCTGCAGCAATGGGCTTTTTTGGCCCCACCATGAGACTGTAACCTTAATAGCCCTTACAGCTTACATCCAGCAAGGATTCAGTCCTATCAACACTTCTATTTTCTGCAGACTTTCTGCCACCTTCTTGCTTCAACACCCATACGCAGACTGTAGGTAGTTGCAATAACAGCCTCCGTATTTTACAAGCAGTCCTAGGGAAATCCTCCAGGCTACATACCACACAGCTTCTGACCAGTCTTGTAACAGAGTTTGTTGTACTAGACAGTCCATCTTTTTGTTTTCAGCTATAATCACATACTGGGTATTTAACTGCTATTCAGCCTCAGTGGTGCTTACCAAAATCATCAACTTATAGTGAACGCATGATGTGACCAAACACATCTGCTTGCTGAAAGCTAAAGCAACCTCATACTATTATTGGTGGCAAAAAGTTTGTCCTGAGTTTGGACGTGATGTCAAGAATAGGATGAAGTATTCTAGAGAGAGGAGAGTGGGAGGAAGGACCCATGTGAGAAGAGAGCTGTAGTCATTCTTCAGTCCCTGATCAAAGTATAGCCAGCACTTCTCCTTGTGTCAGGTCTCACGCTGCCTACTTAAATCACGCTGTCAGGGCCTAGCTCACCTCCCTGCATGGAGCATCTGCTCCCTGAGTAGCGGGCTACGTCTTGCCTGAACCTTAGCCGTAAGCCCAGCTCTGTCAGCCACACTTTCTCGCAGTGCACGCTGCTGTAAGCCATACCGGTCCTCACATCACCTCAGCATTCATTCCAGACTCATGGCTTTGCTCATCCACATCCAGCAGTCTGATCCATAAAGCTGCACAACCCCAGGTTTAGCTGTTGTCTAGCTACCCATCTTCACACCCTCACACAGACAGACTTTTGTAGGCACCAGGACAGAAGATAGCTTGGTGGCCCCTACTGAACCCAGGTCTTACCCTACCTTCTTTTACTCCTGTCACCTTCCTGTTCTGGTATGGCAAACTGGGGATGAGCACTTGGGAGCTGAAGGGCTCTTAGGACTAATCTAAAGACTGGGAGGCTTGCAAGAGTTTCTAGTTTACAGTGAAGGCTATGAAGGGTTAGTTCCTGGTCTGGCAGAGTTCCATCGCTAAGTGTCAGGTCTGCCATAAGCACCTCATCTATAGGAGGACTGCTTATAGTAGAGAACATTCCAGTCTACTGCCAGCTCCGGGGCTAGAAGAGATGCTGGACTGGATGGAGTTCAACACTGTTAGAATCCCATGAGTTTTGAGTTAAGGGGAGGCTGGAGATTTTGTACCAGTAGGAGCTCCTTAGTGACAGTTGTGGGGACTAATAGGGACGGTGTGGGTCTTGGGAAGGCTCAGGTAGCTCAGGAGGCAAGTGTTGGATGAGAGGGGGCTAACCTGAGGACTGGTGCTGCACCTGGTTTAACACTGGAGCATTGCTTTTGCTTTTCGATATTGTTATCCCTCTTCAAATCTTTGAAAAGGGTTTCAGGGAGAGACAGACCAGCATGTGAAGAGAACATAAAATAAAGAACAAAATGGGCAAAAAGAATATGGATGGGTTTACTCAAACAGGTAAAAAGAAATACAATAATTTACCAAACAAAATGGAATGATTAAGGTGACATTAACTGATATCTTTGGTCTTTTCTTTTATAAAATAAAGGAGGAATAATAGAGGAATAATAACCTGAGGACATCTAGCATTTCAGAGATCCTACCATTCTGGAGTCATCACTTCAAGGATGAGAAAGTTTTCTAACATTTCCTTTTGCTATTTTCTACAGTTGGAGTGAACGTCTCTTTTCAGAAAATATATATGTAAGTATGTGATTTTACTGTTGTTATTTCTTTATATAAAATGCTCAAAAGTACCTTTGGAAACTTTGTTCTTGCACCTTTAATGTCAAATGTTGTTGCAATTGTTTCTGTAAAACAGATAATTATAATATAAATGGTTACTTAATCATAAAGCCATCATCAGACTACCTAAATAACTTCAAAGCAATATGGCACATCTCTCAGCAGCAGTGCCAATGCCATTGTGGTGGGTTGACCCTGGCTGGACACCCGGTGCCCACCAAAGCCACTCTATCACTCCCTCTCCTCAGCTGGACAGGGGAGAGAAAACATAATGAAAGGCTTGTGGGGCGAGATAAGGACAGTTTAATGAAAGCAGAAGCAAAGGCCGTGCGTGGAAAAAGCAAAAGGAAAACGAAAAGATTTTATTCTCTACTTCCCATCAGCGACGATGTCCAGCAGGGCTCCAGCACGTGCAGTGGTTTCTCCAGAAGAGAAACGCCATAAATAACGAATGCCCCCCACCTCCTCCTCCTTTCTTCTAGCTTTTATTACTGAGCGGACATCTTATGGTATGGAATATCCCTTTGGTCAGTCTGGCTCAGCTGTCCTGGCTATGTTCCCTCCCAAGAGACAGCCTCAATGCTGCGCAAGCACCCCTTAGCAGCAGCCAAAACACTGGTGTGTTATCAACACCCTTCCAGCTATCAATACAAAGCACAGCACTATGAAGGCTGCTATGGGGAAAATTAACTCCATCTCAGCCAGACTCAATACAGCCATTTACTCCTCCAGTGATAAAGCCCCTACCTGTCTCTTCTCCCAGAGCCCTGCCTATCTGTTTAAACCATGTTAGAAAATAGAAATTAACCACAATGCTCCTGCAACATCTCCTACAGACCCATCCTACTGTGATAACTAATAATTTAACTTCTAATAGCAGTTCAGCTGAATGATAACTGAGAGCTCAGTTTTAAAACTGAGTTTTAAAACTGAGCTCTTTTTTTTTTTCATTAAAAACTCATTTTTAATGAAAGGAAAACATGGATTGCATATTTTGACCTCCTTACAGGTCTTTTCAGCCTTTAGCCTGACATCCTGCCTGAATTATCTGGATCTGAGCCTGTGTCATGTTAATGTCGGTTAGCCCCTGCAACAAGATTGACTCTCCTCTAGTAAAAAAAGCATTATACATGGGTGTAGACAATCTCTTTAAAAACCCATCTGGACAGTTATCTAAATAAACTGTGTTCTGGATATTAGTAGTGCCTCTAGCTCCTCTCAAGTTTTCTGTACAGTCCAGTCAAATGTAGTCTTTCCATGTCATTTTAGAGATGTTAACAATAACAGTGTCATGAGATGAAGAATATTAGTAATCCTAATTTATAGAGATGGCAACTGCAGTACAAGGATGTTAAAGTATAGAATTTGGAAATTCTCTATTTTAGTGGGGTTCTGGCACTGGAGAACTGCCTGTTCTTAAGTCTGCTGCCTGCCAAGCAAGGTGAATGGGTCTAGCTTGCAAAGAGAAAAATCTGTCTGCACAGGATGATCAATTAGTCTTTTAAGAAATCTGCTTAGTGGTGAAAAAGGGCTGGCAGGATATGGCCCTGTTGTGGAGGCAACCTGCCAGGCAAGGGAAAGGCATCGTATATTTTCCTCACCAACCTCCTTTCAGCATTCCGCACACTGCATATTCGTCGTCGACTCCTCTGCAGAGGGCTTCTTTCCAGTATAACGCTTTGGCACCGTCGTACCAGACTTTGAAAATAATGTTCAAAAAGCTGATGTCACTTCCTAGGTAAGACATTGCAGGTAAGAAAAAGGTAGCTGGTGGGGAGGAAAAACACATACGCAGGCATGCTATTCAGATAAAAAATAGTTTTCTCTGAACTACAATATCTTTTAAAGACTCCCTCCAAAATGAACAAAAATACATTATCTTGAAAACTGTTACTTCCAGAAAAACAAAAAGCTGGTTTTCAGCAAAAAACATCACTCTTAAAAAATATTTGAGTGAACAGTTTCAAAATCATCTGTTTTAATTTCTTCAGCAGAGATAACAAAGTTCACTCACCTTGACAGGTAACCCAAATAAATACTCAGATGAGGACTCTGTAGTTTTAAGCAGGTGTTGCAAACACAGTCCTGAATGCTGGTAGCCATCATAAAGGTATCTTTCTAGGGAAGCAAACTTACCTCAGCTTCCGAGTTTTTACTCAGAAGGTAAAGTTTATGATACAGCCATTTCATAAGCAACTCAGCTTGCCAGCTTAGAGCTGGGTTTAAAGATAGTTTGAAGTTGCGTTTGCCTACACAATCCAATACCATTTCCAGCTTCTGGAGTACTCATATTCTTAGTAGAAGCCCTGCCATAGTTGGATAGCCTCATGATATTCTCTGTCCTTAAAAAGACTTGGATCTTCTTCAGGCCAGAAGAGTTTGTGTGCTGCAAAAGCTTTTCTGCTTCTTCCAGACAAATGCACGTGCACCTAAACCATCTCAGATTTGCATGTACAGTGCCAGTTAGTGTCCAGAGCTCTTGTAACTGCTCCAACAAGTAAAACTCAAGGACATTTATTTTCACAAATCATTATATCTGTCCATTATTATTATTTATCTATTCCATTTTTAATCACAGAAACTGATGTCCTAAATAATTTGACATTTAGGACAGAGCGTCAGCTTTTTGCTTGTATTATTTTTTTTGCATTCATAGAAGACAATTCTCTAGGCAAGAGGAACTCACTTGGAATCCAGGTAAGACTAGCCTTCCAGGCAGATTGGTTCATGATGCTGCAAGGTGTCAGATTAAACATGAAAGCATAAACTGCAGAATCTACAGGATAAAAAAATATTTCATTTTGTTAGCATGAATAGGCTTCTCCAGTAAAATAATAAAAATATACATATATACACACTTACAATAAACACATACACATTTAAAAATGTATTTAATACAAGGTATATGCTATAAAATTGTCTAATATAAATATCTGTAGTAAACATTAAATATGTATTTTAAATGTTATTTCTGATTATTTATATGCTTAGAAGGCAAAAATAATATCCTATTACTTTGAGATTAAGTAGTAAGAAAAGTCAGTTGTTGGGTTGATGATATTTTGCACACAAAACTCAGAGGCAAAAGTACCTTTATTTCTCTTTTGAAGTTACACAAGCTTTTTATTAGCAGCAAGCCAGCATGGTCCTCCGCTGAAAATATACCTACTTATGCTAACCATGGAATCTACATAAAGGTGCTGACGACAGCTAAATATGTTTTTAATGTACCAGCACATTTTCCAGGATAATGTAAATGAGCCTTTGAGTAGATTGGCTTTGTACTCACCTAACATTGTACAATGCAGTGTCAGATGCAGTGTGATAAAGCATCATACAACCTGTATCTAATAAAATTTAGACCCCATAATCTGATTTTTAATTTCTAAAAAATCATTCAGTGACAGCCTTTGGAAGGATTTCCAGGCAGTATTTTTATTTTCATTTTAGGAAATAAGTCTATTCAATTCAGCTTGCTTCCGCCCTCCCTAGTGTGCTCACACTGAAGAAGCGCCCTGCTTGCCGTGGGCCTGGAGGCAGGGTGGGGAAGGGGTGCTCCCCGCTAGGTGCTAACCCAGCTGAGCGCTGGTGGGAGCAAATGGACGGCAGGGTGATTTACAGCGAGGGGTTCAGACGTGTGTTTCGGGGATTAAAGCAAGGGGCGTGCAAAGGGAAAGTGTCTGGTTGTTGGTAACCAGCTTCTCACCTCAGATACAACTACACATGGGAAATTATGACAGGAAAAAGGGCAAACAAAACTCACCCTGGTCTCAAGGGTTTGGTTTGCAAGCTTAAGTAACACCACTTTGATGCTTGTTAAATTTTAACATGAGTATTAATGTAAAGCAAAGTACCCAAAATAAACATCCCCTCCAGTGGCCAGTTTATATAGCTATTTTACAGATAATATACACTAGTAATGCACACAGATTTTTCAAAAGACCTGGTCTTTTCCTTGCTAGATATCTCCTCAAAAGCCCACCTTCTTGCCACTGAGTCTGCAGGGTCACACTGAGCCTGTTCAACCTGGACATCAGGGAGGTGCCAAGTTGTTCCAGAATTGACCAAAAACCTTAGTGAACTACATAGATCCAGCGGCCTACAAGACAGACATGGCAAGAAGGGGCACACTGTGTTGTCCCAGAGCCTAACTGATCCTCCAGCCTGGCAGAATATCACATTCCCCCTTTTTTTCTGTATACTTAAAGCTTTTCATGGTAATATATTTGTTAAATCAATGTGAATAATTTATACAATACAGTACTTGCAAAACAAGTTTAAATCCCTCATTTTCTAATATTTCCTGAATCAAAACATGCCTGCTTTACTTGGGATAAACTTCTCTCCTAGCTGCTGCAACCAGCATCGTAGTAATATTTACACCTATGCAGTATAATTCTTGTAACACGGTAATTAATAACAGAAATATACTCCAGCTGAATTTCTTTTTGTTTTTCTGTATTCATCAAAGAAACACATTCGAAAGAAAGTTCACATTTCCTCAGACTACAGCAATTATTGTGCAAATGCCAGTAAGAAAAGAATAAGCTATTTTTACTTACCACAAAAAGTATATGACATTTCTAGATCTGACGACGAACAAAGAAATTCACTGACTCCAGGGGTGAATAAAATGAAAAAAAGAATTCCAAACATAGTTACTTCTTTTGCTCTGTATTTGATGGAATAAAACTTTGTTTCGGGGAAAGAGGAACAAAAATTCAGCACATTCATCCTCAGTCACACGTCTTCAGGGAATATTTGGTTATTTCCCCAAATTCTCTGCAATCTTAATTAATCCTACAGCAGCCCTATTGGTTATCATCACAATAAATTTTGTGAAGAAAAAGAATTTCTGCCTTTGTTGTTACATTTTCCCCAGACAATGCAGCTCAAGCCAAGAGTGAAAATGCAAGAGAAAACTGTCTGAAATAGGGAAGTGAGAAGAAGTAAAATTATGATTACCGGAAGCACGTAAAGGGAAGGTTTAGTTGACTCATCAGACGTAACATTTGTTAAGGCATGATTTCAAACACTCACAGGGTTTCCTGTACAAAATGAAGAGAAAAATCCACAAATGATGAAAACCAAGTCGACTCTTTTATTGATATGGTAGTCAATAACTCTCGCGAGTTTTCAGAATGAATTTCTTACAAAGCTCACCTGTTTTAAGAACACACCGGCATTCTGGAAGAGTGTAATTAGATGATGTATTTCCAAATGGAGGGAAGGATGGGAGCTTAATGCAACCATCTGACATGTTATTGAGTGGAGCCACTGATGTCCTACACTATCTCAGCTGCTGTCTTCAAAGCTGTATCTATCTATCACAGTCACACTTCTTAGTGAAAACAATCTTAAAAATCCATAAAATTACAACTGATGAGTCCCATGTCGCCTTCCTGGCCTCCCTTTGTGACCTTATCCCGTGCTCTTCCTTGCAGTCTCTGCTGGAGAAGCTGCATTGCACAATTTGCCCAAGAGCATGGAGCCTAACCACTGACTGTTGTGCCGGTGCAGTGCACAGGTGGACACTGACCACGAGACAATTAATAACAAAAGCTGTCAAATTTTGACTGAAATGTTTCTGTAAGAACACAGAATCTACCTGTCGCAACTGAAGATGGGTTAGGAGCCCCATTTTAACCTAGGATGTTGAAAACAGTCTAGGTTGCAGATTTTGGTACTCAAGTTTGAAACGCTAAAACAAAAACTCTTAAAGCACTTTTGGTATTAGATACACCCCCTTATTTCTCTCTGTTAGTGCAACACACAAAGAATAACACATTTTGCCTGTATCTGCCGTATCAGTTTTGTGGACTAAAGTGGGTCAGCTTTTACTGCACAAACCCAGCAATATTGCCAGTGCCAAATACAGAAACAGATGAAAAAAAAGTCTAATAACTCATTCAAGACAGCACAATCCCCATCTAACTGACAGGAAATACAAGTATTTTTTTTTTTCTGAAAATAATAAAATATGGAAACTTACTGAAGTTTTGGAAGAATGACTTACGGAACTTATCAGATTATTTTCTCATGAGTTACCTACTTGATGTATATGTATGTCTTCAGGGTCCTCTTAGATCAGAAATTGTATTTGTTATGAAAAAGAAGCAGTATACACAATAGACAGGTATTTGGTTTTGTGCTAAGCAGGAAACTCAATAAGAATTACTTAGAACAAATGTTACTTAATCAATTGTTCTGACTCTCCCCACTCCCCATCACAGTGTCTAAAAGGTTTTATTCTCACAAATTCTGTGCACACCAGGGTAATATTTTACATATTTTAAAGATAAAGTAGCAAAAGATTAAGAAATTGGTTTTCAGAAGTCCAAATGTAACACAAAAGATGATAGTTTAGGAACAGTGACATGCACGATAATGACTGAAGAAGGGGAGGGAGTGAGAATTGTATTAAAACTACCTGAAAGTACAAACTAATGAGTTAATGCATGTAATAATTCACAAAATAAGATAAAAAATCGCAAATTTGACATGGCTAGAGAATTCTCTTCAGTATTCCAAATCTTTCTACAGACCACAAGAAGAGTCCCGCAGGCCTGACAGAGTTCAAGACTGAAAGAAACTTCTAACATTTGGCTTTTAACTGGGAATTCAAAATTATACAACTTTCCTAACAGATCTCCAGAGTATGTACATCGCACACAGATTTTTGCTGTTGTTTAATAGGACGCTATAAAACATACAAAACCTTTGTGACCGTAGCAATAATACAGTTCTGCTTCAAAAATGGCCAAATTTTGCTTAAAAATAGTAAAATATGTAGTGAAATCGAAATAAATCAGGAAGGCTGTAGCAGCTGGAAAAAGAAATGGAGTAATGAAGCAGCCACTAAAGAATAGCTACCTTGTACATGGTGTACCATCACCATGTCCAAAAAAGGTTCCTCTCAACTACAAAGCCATAGCCACTGATGTGGAGCGAGTCTAATCAGCCAGAAGCCAAGCCAGGCTCTCTGCTGAGTCTTCTGTCAGTCCAATAGATTTAGCAAAAGTCACAGGTCAGTTTGAAGTAGGCATGAGAATGCACTGACTGTACCCTATTGATATATACGATTCCCCAGCTGAAAGCACGTCCCTCTGCGGCCAGACTTGTACTTGCTTCGCTGCCCAGTGCGTTGGGTGGATGACGTACTCATGGGCAGACTGGAA